ATGCCGACAAGAAAAAGTGTTATGCTTAAAGCTTATTGAGTTCAAACAGTTTATACTTTAATTATAAAACAGTAAAATTGAATGTACATTTTTTAAATAATGATTTTCCTGATGTAGAAACATGGATGCAAAATACACGACACCTTTTAAAAATCATATTTTACTCAAATAATCCAAAGAGGAAAATACATCTTTCGATGGCGAGAGAGACCCGTCTCCATTGAATGTGGCTAAACACAAAAGTAAGCCACGTATCAAAGTTATTGAATTACACCTGAGATTCATTAACTTTAGTTCCCACTATATAAACCATCAAGTGTCATCTCAAGTCCTCAATACATTTAGTGTCTACTCCATCGAGTTTCATCTTACAACCACCTTATCTTTAGTGCGCACTTCTTCAAGTGTCACCTCGAGAATACGTATCATAGTGCCCATTCGTTCTCTAGTTGAGTGCCACGTCAAGGTTGCCATTCGACCCAGACACTCACTAACATTCAAGATCGGAACCTCAAACTTCATACTTGATAACACAAATCAATTAACCCTCATTCACAAGGGTTAAAGCATCAAAACCACCAACTTTGGCAAATTATAGCATGACGGATCAAACACATCGCACAACATGTATACTCCAAGAAGTTATACAGTTATAGGGATCTAATGTTCATATACACAAATGAACACCCAAGAGTTGTGCCAATCCCGTTACAACTTTGAACATGATTTAGAATCAACTAAAGACTCTATCCTAAGGGACTTACGTTTTAAAATGCATTTTAAAGAGTTTTAAACAATCTCATAACCCAAAATATAATAATATCCATCAACATCCTATTTGATGCAACAAGTCTCACAAAGAGAAACTCTTATGATTTATATTTCAAAATACTCAATAACTCAAAATAAACATTATTTAATGAGTTACGAAACCTAAAATGCAACCAACAAACAAATCATAAGCATTACCCAAATATTTATAACATTAATACACCAAGGTACAATAATGCCAAATAATCAGTATTGTATGCAATATATCATCAAAAGATCACACTTTTATGATTTGTTTACAAAATGTTCAAAACCCCCCAAATGTAAGTGTTTTATAAATGTTATAAAGTCAAATTCACCAAAGATGCAATTACTCAGATAATCAATACATTTGATAAATATCAAGGAGAACACTTTGAAACTCCAAAATGGACATTTTTGACATGTACATAGTTTTGACAAAACAACTTGAACCTCATCTTGCTAGGTTAAGTTAAATCTTCCAAGCAACTACCCCCAAGACAATAATCTAAGCCTAACAAAGCACCAAAATTAAGGCAACCACAAGATCAGATCCACCACAACTCAAACTAAATCTCGAAATGCCCAACAAGCTTACCTCATCAAAAACTTGAAATCATCCACCATTGATCTTCAATGCTTGATACATCCTCCATTTACTCGAAAAATCACCCAAAAATCAACCCCAAAGTACCAATAATCACCTAGAGATGGGGAGAGGGGAGGAGGGAGGGGGTGGAAGAAATTGTTGAAAACCCTAAAAATTGGATTTTTACGAATTTTAGAGGCTTCCCACAACCTTGGTCGCGATCTAAGTCACGGGCCAAGGTCTCCCGAGTTTCTATTTTTGTTGTGTTGCGTTGCGATCGTTCCCCTCCTATTTCCCGACTATTTCTCGATCTTTCCCCGACCATTTTGTGATCTAAAGCCCTGGACGAATTTTCATGCAGTTTCGGCCACCCGGGAAGCCGTCCGGACTTTCGAAAACTGAAAATACTAAATCTAACATTCTTTTAGACCATGAAGCCAAACAGGATTAACGACTCGTACTAAAAGCTTAATATTTCCAATTTTGCAACTGAATAATCTGATAATCCTAAAATTTATCTTTTAATAATAACAGAGTTACGGGTTTTACATGCACAACCTGAAATTACCACATTTGTCAAGCCAAAAGTAAGTAACTTTTCCATGCTTGATAAATTTCTTGAAAGAAGAGCGGAATTTAGTCCAAAAATGTCTAAGTCACGTCTCCCTTTTAAGATTTCATCCCAAGTCGATCCAATTTTGTTGAGCTTAGCTCTGGAAAAATTAAACCACCTTCTTTTTCATATGAACTTCTACTTAACTAACTCCAAAACAAATTTTCTTCCTCGAGAAAATGCCACCACCATTTAGCTAGACGTCTTAGATTATGGGCCTTGAGACTCCTATATTAAGCCCTCCACACTCGAACCCTTAAAGAACATTAAGCTATTTCATCCAAGCCAATTTAGCGATCGACCCATCCCCCTCCGTAAAAGAAATTCTTCGTCACTATTTCAAACAAATTCGACACACAACTTGGGGCACGAAACAAGGAGAAGTAATGAAGTGACAAACTTTCAAAACCGATTTCACCAAAGTCATCTGACTTCCAAAGGTATCAACTTCATTTTTCCAATTTGCCAGCTTATTCTGAAATTTTCTACGATAGAGGTCCAGTTTACCACCTTGCTCATATCAACTCCAATAAGAAGCCCGAGGTAAGAAAGTGGAAAAGAGCTTGCACAACGCAAAGAAGACACCATATCATCTATCTCAACAATGGTGAGTGGGTACTACAGCACAAGATAATTTACTTTTGCCAACATTTATTATTTTTATTTAGAAAAATCATAATTTTTTATTATTTATGAATAGAGCCTAATATTTTTTTTCTTCAAAAAGGCGGAAATTTTATAAAAAAACTAGCAAGAAGATAGAAAAACAAATTACATGTAAGAAATAACAAGAAGGAGATTTTGTAACTCACCCACCCAGTTGATGTTAAACTTATTACACCTATTTGGAACCTAGAAGAGCGAATGGGTCACAATACTATCCCACAGCACTACTTTCTTAGGCTTAAAAAGCCTAAAAAGAGTCATGTTCCGTAAAAACCAAATGACCTGTAAAGCCGTTTGAACAATTGCCTCTAAACAAGCCGACTCCATTTTCTTCAACCGCAAAGATAATAACCACCTAATCCATTCCGAATTGGGATTATACTCTGTAATATCCAAACCTCACCAACGACCAATTTGCTTCCAAATATCCCTTGCCATTTGACAAGAAAAGAACAAATGACTCACCGATTCAATCTCCAAATCGCAAACCGGACATAAGAAGGAATGCATGTTAATTCCTCTTTTATCAAGATTGTCTCGGGTTTGAATTTTGCTCAAACTCAACCGCCAAGCAGATGCATTGATCTTGATAGGAACAAGTTGATTCCGTCTACTAGAAGAGTGATCTATCACCAACATTTTGGAGTGTATAAAATTATGAGTGGAAGCCATTGAGAACACACCAGAACCATCGAGGAACCATACCCATCTAAGTCTTTGATCTGAATCATGACTATAGCGAGAATCTCCCAGAAAGAGGACATCTGCGACTCCTCCACCCCCCCTCTCGACAGTCTACGCAAAATGGAACTCTAGTCCCCTAGGACCAATCAATCTTGGACCGTTGCCGATTTTTCATGATCAAGCGCATATACCCTCGAAAATTGCACTTTCAGAGATAAATCTCCCAACCAAACATCATCCCAAAAGAACATAGACTTCCCATCATCCACTTTTTTTTGCAAAAACAAAAAAAAGGTAAATACCATTATTGTCCATTTGTTGTACCACTTTCAAAATAGAAATCCAAGAAGAATTGTACACGTTATTGGTAAGCACTTACACGGTAAGTGTTTAGTAAACGACCCCTTACTCTTAATATAGACATTTACATAATCAAAGTGGCTTTAGTTGCTTTGTAGATATGGATGTTGTTGACTTCCTTTTTGAGTTGCACTTCGATTTTTAAAAAGCATTGAATTTTGTTGGTTTCGCTATGCGTTTGTTTGTTGCCTATTTTGGTATCAGGTGAGCTTGGTTACAAGAGATATTCTGGTTCATTATGTTCGGTTTAGCTTATATTAGTTTTATTTGGAGATAGCTTATTTTGGGTTGATTTTGTAGCTTGCAGAAACATATGTTGTATTCTTGTGGGTTTTTTTAGTCTTAATGTTATATTGGTTTTTTTTTTTAAATAGACATTTCTTTAGATAAATTAAAATAGATATGTTAATACTTATTTTTGAAAGGATGAAACATTTAAGTTGTATTGTATTTGATTGAATTACTAATGAATGATTAAAAAGAAGATAGATAAAATTGTGAATAGAGATGGCAAAAAATTAGTCTCCGATCGGGCTAGGCGGGGCTCAAATCGGTCCTGGTCCCAAACACTATTCCCGTAACCGGTCCCGGTCTCGACCAAAATCCGAGGCCCGATTAAGGTACTTTGTAACCAGTTATGAGGACCGGTCCGGGTTCCTGGCCGGGCCCAAATTGGTCCTATGCATTTTTTTAAATCGATTTTTTACATAATTTTCTTTTTTGAAGTTTTTATTAAAGAATACAAAAATGTTATTCTAATACACTTGAAAATAAGTAATTAGGTAAATTAAATACACCTAAAAGATAGTTTTTTTTTGCAAGGATGTGAGACGAAATCACGAATTATAACAAGAATCATGAATGTTTGTTAGTTGGTATCTTCTCTCATATACCATATGACTTATATTAAATGGTAAAGGAGACAAAAAGAAGACGGTTAAAAATGGAAAAAAATGATCATATGACCGTTAGGTATCAACAATAAAACAATAATATTTTTGAAAAATCGGGCCAGTCCCGGGTTGGGCCTATAACAAGTCCCAAACCGGTCCCAGGCCAGGCTTAATGTTTTGACGAAAAATGTAACCGTTCCCGGCGGTCCCAAACAGTCCCAAGTAGGTCCGGTCCCGGGCCAGACCGTACCCATTTGACCATCTCTAATCGTGAATAATTCTGGGCTGAAACGAGGTAAAATGGGCCCAACAAATATGTTGGACCGGACCCTAAAACCCATTCTTGAATATTCGGAATCAACTTGGGTCGGCCCAAAACTTATTCGGAAAAAAGTCCTTTCTCGAAGCAGACAAGAGTGTGCTAGCAGCTTGAAGCTTCTACCGTTTCGTGTTTGATCTTCACAATTCATCAAAATTTAAACCCAAAAATTGTTTCCTTCTCGATCTCTCTCAAGGTGACTTACAAGTATCTTTTCTGCGACAATTTGGCATTTCTTCTTGTATGCTATTATGTTTGCTGTTGTTCTTGTTGGGGTTTTTATGATCGGTACAGATTCGTTGTGTAATCTGCCTTCAAAACGAGTGAGCTTTTTTATCTGGGCTTCAATTTTGATTCCAACAGTTCAATTGCGACTTAGCGGATCATACGCTGTATGTTTTGCTATTGACCTAGGATGGATTTGAAATATTTGTGTTATTTGTTCCCTTGGAAATTACAAACTGGGCATCTTCTTCAATGGAAATATTTGTATGTTTGTGTTAGATGTCCATAATACCACTCCGCTACTGACAACACGACAAAATCGATGAATCTGCAATTTGTAAGGATGACGATTTTAGCTTGATTCTTACCTTCTGCTCACACTCTTTCACAAGAGGGCTGTTGTTCATGGAAACAATCGCTCTGTTGTTATCAATACACATGCAAAATGGCATTTTCACACTAAGCACTCCCCTTGTGGATGTCTATGTATGTGGTCAGTAAAATTGAAACCTAGGCGAGGGACTGTGAGTGGATGTTTTTTTTTATTAACCTGGATATCCAACCCTATGTGAGCCGACTAATCCGCGACCACCTGCTTTGCAGTTGCAGCAGATAGCCCGGAGTCACTGCATTTGAACCTCCGTGGCCAAAGGGAATTCTTATTCCTCCTTGGATTTGAACCTAGGATCTCCCTGTACTTTTGACCTTTGGAGCCAAGTACAAACCAATCAGGCATCACCCTTGTGGTATTTGTGAGTGGATGTTTTGATGTTAAGGTCGGAGATTATTTGACTTAAAGGTTCATTGAGGATGGTAGTCGGATGTTTTGATATTCAATTGAGAGCTTATTTTTTCATCACATTAATTTTGCTCAAAGAACACTTATAGGCAATGATTATATGTTTGAAGGTACTATATGCATTAAAGTCCACTTAAAATAAAAACCTAGAATGAAATATTGTTAATGAAGTGGGTTTATTTTACTGTTCCCTCTTGTTCTACACACACTCCCACACAGTTAAACACACAAAGTTTGGCTATACAGGGAGCAAATGAGTGTTACTGGTAACAGAAACTTTTTTAGTTCTTGGGCCTTCTTGCTTTGAATTTTCTGTTTCATCATATGCTGTCATCAGCTATTTCAATTTACTTATTTCTGCATCATTTTTTGCATGAAATTAGATGAATTCACTCTACGAATATTACATGCTTCCTGTAACCTTGTATTGTTAATGACATATCCATAGCATGCATTGTCATATCATTCTAGTTTGTAGAATCTTTATCATCTAAACTTTTGATGGACTATGATTATCGTTTTCATGTTTAAGGTGAAAGCACTGAAAGACTACCATGGCAACAAGGCAGGCAGTTAGATTTGTGTCTCGCAGGTTCTCAAGCAGTGGCAAAATACTTAGCGAGGAGGAAAAGGCTGCAGAAAATGTTTACATCAAGGTAAGCCCTGGTTTTAACTGATGCAAGTCTTCCATGCGTAACTTATAAACTTTCTTAAACAAGATGCGCCTATATATAAACATATGAATATAGTCCATGTGGGTGTTTTTCTGGCATTCTATGTGTTTACGTTTTTCAATAACAATGCCATGAACTTGGCTTGGTTTATGAAAGTATGAAACCACTCAATGTTTCACAGGCCGTGTAGCCTACTAAATAACTTAGCCTTGAGCCTAGAACTTAAATATATTATGCATGCTTCCAATCCTAATCAATGGGCGGGACCAGGGTCATAAAAATTGTGTTAAGTAGCCTGGAATCCTGAGGCCTAGTTGTGTAGCAGGCTCCATCAACCATGGAATGGCATTGATGATGGTAAGGGAGGTGTAAGTCCTCGTGAATGAATGAAGCTTATTGGAGTCAGAAATGGGTGTGCATAAGAAAACAGTGAGTTCTTATTGTTTCATGCCTGGATAACTGGTTAGAGAAATTCGTTCTTTTTGCTCAAGTTTACCAAATTCCAAGTAACCATGCAATATGTCACTGGATTTTAGAAGTTCTGGTCTAGATGCAGGTGTTCATAGATTCATTCTGTAACCTTTTGAGGTTTCTGTGTATGACTTCTGGTTATTCCTACACATGCAACTCATACCTGCACATGCATGATGCATCTTTAATTCTTTATACATCATGTGCCAGAGATATCAATAACCAACCAAACGAACACATTGTACCCCTCACAGAGGTAGGGTCTTGGGGGTAGGATGTATGCAAACCTTGCCTCTACCCCCAAGGAGTAGAGAGGCTATCCTCGTGAAGACCCGATATGTAAAAGAAAAAAATAAAATGAACCAGGTGCGCTAAGTAGCAGAGTATTGTTTGCAAACAAGAAACAAATACAGTTGACAAAAAAGTTAACAGGGACACATGAGAGGAACATTAATTAAAACAAACAAGGATCCTGAAGCGGAACTGCTAATTAAAAGGACAAGAGGTGTCAGAGAAGTCAATATGAAGAGAAATTATGCCGACTCTCAAAAAGATTTAGATTAGTAGGAAAATATCTTACAACTGTGTACTAAGAAGTTCAATTCATTCCAAGATGTCATGATCTCCTGGAATAAAGGAAGAGAATCCCCCTTCATGCAAAATCAGTTACTCTTTTCACATGTTGCATTTTAGAATTTTCATCAAGCTTTCAGTGGGTATATAATGTTTAATATCTGGAGCTTATCATCTCTTATCTTTGTATGTGTAAATGTAAATGGAAAAGAGTAGTTCATATTCTTGTTGGAGATGATCCGGTAGACAACTGATGGCAGCATGCTGATATTCTGAAATAATGTCATCTATAGCATAGCAGTTAATCCATATTTATAACATCCATGCTTTTAATTGTGGTACTATAGCGGTTAGCAGTCCTAGGGGAAATAGTGGTTCCACTAATAGCGGCACTAATCACCACAGTTGGGCCGCAATTTTGACTTGCAATAGCGGTGTGAAAATTAGGAGTTGGGCTTTAAGTTGTCCTTTTAAAGGGTTTAGAGAAGTCAATTAAGAGACTACAAGCTAGGGGGCTGATTATAATTTGCAATATTGGTGTCTAAACTCGCTATCCCTCTCTCATCTCTTCTATTCCAGTCTATATTTTGCATCTTCTCTTCACAACAACATTGTCTTCCAACATTGATTGCTCATCTCTTCTATTCACCGGTTCTTATGTTCATCTTCAAAATATATATTATTTTATGCATCTATTCATACATTTATATATAACTGTAATGATTACACGAACCGCTATATATGGACTGTTATACACCGCTTTACCATCATGATAACCGCTCTATCAAATCACGGTCCTGACCGCTATTTCAAATTTTGACCGCGATAACAACATAGATAACATATATGTACTTTTGTTCTATCAGATGTTACCAGTTGATTCATTGCATTGCCCATTCAGTAGGGAAGTCCCTGTTCAGCTAATCGTTTCTCTTTCTTTCCTCTTGCTTGCATTTCAGCTAAAACAGAGCAAATATTCCCAACTTTTATCGTGATAATATATCCTCTTTAACTTCGATATGATACCCTCTTTATGTGGCATATAAAGTTGTTGCCTACAAACATTTTAGCTGGTCACTCTGATGCAATTAAAATCTGGATATTATTGAACTTAAGGCCATTCAAGAACAAAAATAAAGAAAAAGTAAATTATGACGGACAACATCATCACGTGGATCTTGTATATTATACATAATATGATCCCTACCTTTTTTTCTCATTTATAGCTTCGCTTGTGTGTTTATTACATGCTTCTGCTTGTGGGTTTGTTTTGGTATCTGTGGGTGTCCGGGCCAGTTTACGCACACCTCGACGGATCCCATGGAGCTCTGAAGATAATAGCCAGGAAATTCCAACCTGGAGCATAATTGAATTGGTGACCTATGGGGAGGAGCCTCAAGATCTAGGCTTTATTTTATTTGCCAATGGAGCTGGAAGGTTTTTACTTTTTGTCTTTTCTGAAGATAACAGCCTGGAAAATCCGGCCTTGAGGAGACTAAAACGGGCGACCTATGGGGAGGAACTCCAAGGCCTAGGCTTTATTTGCCACTAGTTGAGCTGGAAGAGATTTGTTTTTTTCTTTTCGTTTCCATGTTTATGGCACTAGGTTAATATGCTTATTGGATGATGTTCTTTTTCTGCATTTCTAACTGTTCTGATTTTGAGCCTGTAGAAAGCCGAGCAAGAGAAGCTGGAAAAGCTTGCACGAAAGGTTGTCCTCTACTCTCAAGTCTCAACATACAGATTTATATCGGCTCCTTTATGAATTTTGATTTGAGATTAGTGGATGATTGGTGTTTCTACATACAGGGCCAACAAGCAGAAGCTACATCGGGTGGTTCAGGTACAGGTTCAGGAAGCAATGCAAATCCAAGTGAGTCCATTGCATCAACAGGTGGAGTATCAAGCGACAAGAACAGGAATTATGCGGTCATAGCTGGGGTTGTGACCGGTCTTGGTGCCCTTGGATGGTACCTTAAGTCGAAGAACAAAAAAACCGAGGAACTCCATGATTGAACGAGACTTTTGAGTGTGTGAAAATGGTGTCCTTTCTCCGTCTTCCTTCTGTGTTGGTTTAAGATGAACAAACAATAAGAACGAGACGTTTGTATGAGCTGTTGGTGCTGTAGTTTCTGTTCATATAGGCCAAACGTACCATCACACCCGTATTATGGTATGTTTTCCATAGAGCATGCTTTCATCGGCTATATGCTTGTTTAGGTACTTGTAGAAATAAACATACCCATGGCTGACCGACTCATTTTCCATGTGAGGATTACCAAAGGAAGTATGATGAACAGTAATATTTTCTCATGGCTGTGGAACCGGTACAATACTTATAATTCATGTGGATGTGACCATTTAATGATCTTTTAAACTGCAATTTACAAAAGCTACCTAAAACAAACAAACATCATTGAGATTAACCAGAACAAATTCATACAAAACCATCCTTCACAAACCCAAAAAACAATCACAGCTTATCAATTTTCAACATCTAATGTCGACACAGAATGCTTGTCTTACCTGTCGTATTCCGCCAACCATCGCCACTCTCCGGTCACAGCCAAACGCCAATCCTCTCCATCTGTGAGTTTATTGAGCTCAGGTTGCTTATCCCCTTGCTCCTTTCCACAACAGGTTCCACCACCAGTGCCAATCCTTGGCTTTTATCGCACCCACTCAATTGGGTGGTTCTACAAACATGCCAGGTTTGAACCGGTGTTTCGCAGAACCCGGGTCCATCATATTCTTCCGTAGAAGTTGAGTAGCTTAAGTGATCATCGTCGGTTATGTTATCTAACAGAATGGAGTCAGAACCACTGGAATCTTCATTGATGAATTGGTCCTCTCTGTTTTCGCTTCCACCACCGCTGTGGCAGAGATGTGGTGGCCCGTGGTGGCCGTTCTCATCCGACGGCTCTTGTCTAGGAACAGGAGATGGTTCCATAACTGAATCTTCTCGTTCACGAAGAGTCTTGGTCACGAGGGTTTTCAGAAAGTTCATTACTTGGACAGCATACATCAACGCTGTCAACGGATCTGCCATCTGCACAAAGATGCAAACCTCAAAAATCTTGTAAACACATTTTTCATGGAAGTGAGAGGCAATCGATTCGAATCCAAAACCTGTGTCATATTTGGGGCGAAAACCATGGCAATGTTGTGTGAATTCATCTTATTAAAATGTTCCTGTTGGACAACATCCGCCATCAGGTTAACGGCCCAATCGAGCAATGCAGCTTCCGTCAGCGGCAGAAGCCTGATCAGGGCAGCACAATCTTCCTCCGATTCACATTGCATTACCTGCTCCGGTGAAAGTGGATCCAAAACTCCGGTAGGCAGTTCTCTAAACCAAGCCTAATACCACAAACAAACAAGTTTTTCGTTCGTGATTTTTTTACGTTTTACATAAAAAGGACTCAACAAAACGAAGAAAAAGAAACAGGGTTTGATTCGTTATATCTATTTTGTGGTTTTCATCCTTAGATCGAGTAAAAGGGACTCATAATCACGTTTCTATTTCTTCTGTACCGTATAAATCGGGCCAACCAAATAAAAAGTACTTAGGTCCCTCGTATAACAGGGTCCTTTGGTTAATCGACCTTCTGATCAAAAGCACTTCGTAAGAGGTCATTTACTAATTACCCTCATAATATTTTCAATATCATACCTTAATAAGTCCTGCTAAACAATGTACATCAATACCATCTGGAACCACTCCACTGTTCAACTGATTCCTCAAATGTTCTTCCTGCCCGTTCTCCGCATTGATTCGAAATACGCCTTCCGCCTGCAAATGGCATAGAATAATCTTAAAGAGACTAACTTTCTTACATATTCAGATTCCGTTGCATGAAAAAGAAGAAGAAAGCATTTAGAGACCTGCAAGCCGCCCTGACTATACAAGCGTTGCTGCATGAGCAAGAGTATCGTGGGGATACTGTTTCCTCTGAAGTCGTGGGATAACTGCATTGATTGTGTCGAAACTCCAAATACCGTAGCACTACAAACCAACAACAAGCAGTACATGTTTTAGTAAGTTTAATCTACAAACCATTATGGCATCTTTTCAACTAATACACTACAAAAACCAAGTGGCATTTGGCCTAATGGTATCAGTGGTTTACAATCCTTTGGTTGTCAGTTCAAATCTCTTTACAGACATCGGTATTAAGCAACCACATTACACCCTTCTCCTCATTCCGTCTCTTGTATCTATCAATTGCATCTATGATAAATAGGTTAATGGAGCATTAGAGATTATAAACCAATGATTCGTTAATGGATGTTAATCGAATGTGAGTGGTTTAATCTTCTAGTGTCATTAGTGTGATGGCAGCTTCCCTCGGGCATCATTGCACAAACTCCGCAAGGTTCGTAAGAATCCCATGTTTATGCAATCCATTTTCATTGTTTAAAGACCACAATACGCACACCATTGATGTCTTGTACACCTTGTTCTCTTAGTTCTTGAATCCATCTCAACGATTAACAAGACTGCTTAGTTTCCTAAATGGATGTCGGGTTTGCTAAAACATGGAGTCGAGAATGTCACTATCTACAAATGGGAATTACAGCTTAGACTTGCAGGCTTCACATATCAATCACAAGACATAAAATAAGCTCCAAATTATACTTACAATAACAATAATTCTCCTAAATACAGCTTTATACTCATAAATTATAATGAATTAGAACTATAAGCAACAAGAACAACATCACTAAGATTTCATAAGATTTCACAAGTGCTATTGACATCATCAATCATGAAAACAGAAGAAGAAAACACATACAAGCCCAATTTCTATAATTTCCATCACTAAAAAGCATACAGAATTAAGTTCAAGAATGCCTAAATTTCAAGATTTCTTGAATGAAAGTAGGTCGTAAATGTGTAAAGTGTAATGTACCTTGCACTAGGGGCTCTTCTTGGCACTTCAGGCTCAAATTCGACAGGCAGACCCAAGAACCCATTAAATCTATCAAAAGTAACATGCGCCACATGGCGCACATTAGTGGGCCATCCAATCTCCATACCAGAAAGATCCTGCTTCTCTTCTGCAGCCGTAGTCTTGCAAGAAGAAGCAACCCAGAAAGATTTTCTGAGAAGGGTCAACAGAAGTGCCAATAACGACAACTGTTGATTATCCCTTTCTCTTCGAACCTTCAATTCGTCATCGCAATTCGTAACCCTAGAAACCCCTTCTTGTAATTCTTCCGATTCTTGATTTACATACTGAAACAATGGCGTGTCATTGTGAGTTTGTAACGAAGGAGAAGGTGGAGAATGGAGGACCTCTGTCATGGCAGAGACAAGAAGTTGGGTTATGTTTGTTTCGATTTGTAGAGTAAAATAATATTGGTTGAGATTCGGGTGGTGGGATTAAAGAAATGATTGGAATTTGGAAGGCAAAGGCAGGTTTTGATTTGGGGAAAATGGGAAATTGGGAGGGAAGAGGGGATTGATTTAGTGGCATTTGTCAAGTGAGGGATTGTATCTACGCGTGTCATTTATTGGAAAAATTGATTTATAGGTTTTGTTTGGTAATTGTTGAATGATTTGATATATAATGATTAAAATGATTAAGAAATTCTTATGCTATTAGTATAAAATGAAATATAATTGTTTGGTAATTGTTTACAATGAAATTAGGGTGCAGAATAATTAAAGGAGGCCCAGGATATAAATCATTCAGATTTTAGAACCATTAAGGGACATAATTTTTTTTTTTACTAAACAAGATTCATCTCTTAACGATTCAGATGCTGCTTATTAATGAAACTATTAAGAGGTAAATAAACAGCCCATAAGTAAACTTGTAAAATGAGCTTTATGTAAAAAGTCACATTTTTGCATAACATGTTTCTCCCAACTTTACAAACAAGTTTATTCATACATAACTTAGGGCATGTATGTTAATAACTTAATTAGCTTAGGTTATGTTTGGAAATTAGCTGATGAATAAATCATGTTCGACAAAAACTAGCTGATAAAAATGTAAAATGATCAAAAATGACATCTTCAAAAGTTTATCAATTATAATATTTTAGAATATAATTAAAACAAATCTCTAATGATATAATATATTAACTAATACAAATAAGATGGTAAAGAAAATTTAAAAAATATAGTATATTGATTAAAAAAAATTAATTGACGATTATATTTATTATAGTATTTGAATTTATTAAAACAAAATTTAGAAAAAAAATCTGTTATTTATGACTTTAAATAACTATTACATATAATATAAGTAAAATAAAAATGGTTAACCTTATATATTTTAACTAATTAATAGTTTTTCAAAAAACATCTTTAATAATGAAATTAAATATTTTATTAAATTTGACACAATTTACCATCTATGAAATAAAATAAGTATAAGTTTAATTTTTATGTTATATAAAAAATTTAGACTTGTTATATTTGTATTTTGATAACTAAATATATTAAATAATAATTAAAAATTATATGAAAATAGTTGATATGATTAATAATTATTGTAAATAGTTAATAACAAACATAATGTATAATATATAATGTATAATTAAATTAACAGATAAATAATTTTCAGTTTATATTAATAAACATTTGTTAATAATTAATATTTATTAATATTAGCAATATTTAAATTTTATTAATATTTATTTATAATTAATAGTAATAAATAATAATAATATTAATAATTAATATTAATGAAGATTATAATTAGGAAACAATAATAAACTCACAAAACACTACTCCAAGTAGCGTTTCCATAAGGTAACTTATCTAGTATCTACATCCAAATGTATACCCAGAAAATAAGCTAGCTTATTTTTGTTGGGATTCATAACGTATTCGTTCAACCAGGCCCGTTCTTGACATTTTATGGGCCCTGGGCGAACATAAAAACAGGGCCCATCGCATTTGAACATCTGTGATCACAAGGGGATTTTTGTTCCTTATTGGATTTGAACATGGGACCTCCAGATATTTTTGACCTTTAGAGCGAAGCTCAAACCAATCAGGCACCACCCTTGTGGTTACTTAAATTTACGTATTTTTTATTAGGTAATTTGAAACCAAGAGTATAAAATCTATGGTTGATAAATTTTTATAAAAAAGTAAGGATTTTTTAGTTTATAACAAGAAATATTTGTTATTTTGATAATAATAAAAAAGGAGAATTCGTGTGAATGAAGTAATCGTGAGGGTCAATGAGAGATCAATAATAAAGAAGATTATCAAGGTTTTCTAGACAAGTAGACAAATAAAGATTAATAAGAATATGAAAGAAAAAATGATTCATTGAGATCTAATAAAAATAAATAATGAATTAAACATATAATATGCAAGCTCAACTAATGATCGTTTGAGTACTTAAATAGAATCTTGTAGTGCGGTCGAATCCCAATGAAAGATATATAAGTCAAACAATTGATGAAAATATTTAAATTTTATTCTCCTTCTTTTTTTGCTCAACTAAAATAAGATGTTAAGATTAAAAATTTATTGAACATGACATATATAAGAGACATTACTAAATATATCTAGTAGAAAAAATTATTGATTAATCACAAAACTATGAAACACATCATAAATTATAATAACAATAGATTGATTGTCAAACAATAGTAAAATATTTYGTGTARAAACAAAAATAGATAACAATACTCAACAAAAACAATTAGAACAACATAACCAAATAGCAATAGTTAATAGAAGCAGAAATTGATAAAAATATCCAACAAAAATATATAGCAATAACAAGCACATGATCTTACTGTTGAATTGTTGAAGCATGAAAACAACCAAACATATAGAGATAACAATAACCAATATCATTGTACCTTGTTGAAGATAAAAAAAATTAATTTTTTTATCTTCTACTCCAATATAATTAGTTGAAATATTTTTGGGCCCTTATTATGTACTAATATTTTTTTGCTTCTTATTATATGTTACAATTTTGTGGGTTTCTTTAATTCATTAAATTCTTTTAGACTACTATTGTATTTTGTAAGGGAAAAATTTTGGCCCCTAACATTTTTGGGCCCTGGGCGTGCGTTCGTGCCGCCCTCCCCCAGGGACGGCCCTGCGTTCAACTATACATGATTGTTTGATAGTGATTTAATAATATAGAAAATGTCTTATTTAGTAAGCTTTTAGTAGTTATACACAAAACCAAATTTTTTTTTTAAACTCATCTGTTCCAATTAAAAAACAAGCTCATTTCATTTTTAAAAACCTTCTCAAAAAAAAAAACTTCCTAATTTATATGGACCAAATTAATTCATACAGACAGTTATATCTATACAAGGCTTAACGAAAAACCAACCAAATAATCCATTCATAAAAAACTAACCAAACAACTTATTATTAGTCATATGTGACATATTTTATAAAATAGTGAAAATTGAGATTTTATTTTTTGTTTTATTCTAACAAATTTTCTATATTGTTTTCTAAAATAAAGAAAAACTCAAAATTTAGAGGATTTTCTAAAGATTTATGGGTCGTTTACGAAATCACTTACCCGGTAAGTGAATACCCGTGAAATTCAACATTATCGCTTACTTACTGGATAAGATTTTAGTCCACGGAAACAGCATAGTGCGCAACAATTTACCCGGTAAGCACTAACCCTGGTAAGAGCTGTCACTCTCACTTACTGAGTAAGACTTTCGGTCCTTGTTTCGCTCTTATCAAATAAGATTCTTGGTACTTACCATATTCATCCAGTAATATTCATCCAGTAATATTCATCCAGTAAGGTAACGTAACTTGATAAGTGCTTACTCAAGTAAGCGTTTGGTAAATGGCCCCTTAATATCATAAGACAAATGACTTTTTATTCGTTTTTACCAATAAGATTGAATTTTTATTATTTTATATCATATCCACGAGGAGTCGTAACAAGGTCTGCTCGACTGGTGGATCGTATAAATTTTTAAAAAAAATCATATTAAAGTTTTAAAACATTTTAATAATGGGAAAAGTTCAAAAAAACCCAATGGACTTTACTGTTTGGAACGATTAAACCCTTGGA